GCTTTATTTTTACATTTTTCGATCACAGCGCGATGTTTTCGTCGCGCTGTGATGATGTCAAATACGCGCTTTCGTCGACCGTGCTTTTGTCTACTGCGGTTTTGTGGTGGAACCTTTTCTTACACTGCCAACAATTTGGGGCCAGATTTTGAAACATTTTGGAGAGCCGTGCTGGAGGGAGATGCCATCTGTAGACTATTCTTTTGTGGAAGCATTTTGCCTCTGGATGCTTTTATAGAGGGGGGAGAAGGGGGTTACCTTGCACTGCTTGGGGGGTCGTACTGCAAAACCCAGTTCACCTCCGGGATGTCTATGCCACGGGCCATCACGTCGGTACACACCAGGATGCCGCTGGGAAATTGAGAAGGACGACAAAACGTTGAGAAGGGGCTGGAGATCAGAGCTACAGCAGTAATGTTGCTTAATACTTGAAGCACAGCAGGAATTCACATTAAACCAGACATAATAATTATCCTTAGATTTCATGTATCCCATTATTACATTATAGGCGAGTTATAATACACCTTTCCGTGTTGTTTTCCCATTAAGTTGGGTTGGGTTGAGTGAAAGAAGCTGGCTCAGTTGCTAGTTGCTTTCCTGCCTCAGATGGGACTAGAACTCACCATCTCCTGGTCACTGGTCCAAAGTCATAGCAATAGCAATAGCAGTTAGACTTATATACCGCTTCATCGGGCTTTCAGCCCTCTCTAAGCGGTTTACAGAGTCAGTGTATCGCCCCCATAATCTGGGTCCTCATTTTACCTACCTCGGAAGGATGGAAGGCTGAGTCAACCTTGAGCCGGTGAGATTTGAACCGTCGAACTGCAGTTAGCAGTCAGCTGAAGTGGCTGCAGTACTGCACTCTAACCACTGCGCCACCTCGGCTCTCATTCCTAAGGATGGACTAGAACTCACTGTCTCCTGCTGATTGGCCCAAAGTCAGCCAGCCAGCTTCCATGACTAAGGTAGGACTAGAACTCACCGTCTCCCGGTGATTGGCCTAACTCCCTATTTCTCTACCTTGGAAGTTTCCGGAACTCTGTAAAGATCCTGTTCCTTTTGTGTTTCATCTTTCCATGGATGCACATGATTTTCACGTTCTTAATCAAAGACTCCAAAGCTTTCCCGTAATATTCCACACAAGCACAGGTACTGAAATTGGAAACACAGAGCTAGGTTTCAAAAAAAAAAAAAGAACAATTCTTTATTTATTCCTATAAGCCGCCAACTTGGGAACAGCGAAAATTATTCGGGGTAAGCCTCCATCCTCCTATCCATTTTTTTTTCCTAGAAAATTTTTTTCTTTTCCATTTTCATAGCATATAATCACATGTATACTATTACATAGTCAATATCATGTTGTATTATTAAGNGGTCCACCCTCCCACCCGCGTTTCTTACCCGGGTTTGACGAGTTCTGCGCTTCCACACATGCGCAGGACGCATACAGCGCCTGCGCGATCCTCCAGGAGCAGCTGGAGCATCGCACAGATGCTGGTACGCATTCGTGCACTGCACGCGTGCAAGAGGACGCCACCGGCCCTGTTCCAAACGAACCGGTTGGAACGGGGCGAGAAACCCACCCCTGTCTCCAACCCTTTTTCTTCAAATGCATCTGAGCTAAATCAAAGGGGCAGTTTTTAGACTTGGGTGCTGCTAAGATTCCCCAGGGAAAAGCATTGTGGACCCGAGAGTTAATTGTAAACAAATTAAAAACCCAGGGTGTAGACTTTAAACACCAGCAATTCTACAAAATACATCATTTAAAGTAGAAAGATGGGATGAAGAGAAATGGAATGAAATGGAAACGCATTCAAAACAGTTTATCCTAATTTGTTATCAACAGCCTTGCTCTCATAAGTGCAGCAAACATTCTCAAACCCTTCTTAGATGCATTTTCATATTGTTTATCTGTCACTATTAAAACAAATGCTTTTCTTTGGAGAAGCATATTTAAACTTCAAATATACCCCTTCTTTAAATTCCACGAAGAATTTAACATGGCAGTATAAAGTTCCCATCTTTTATTAAGAGATATCGAGAGTTATAAAAGGGGCAGTTAATCCCGTTACTGTTAGTTTTGAGTCCAGACACCGTGTTAGTTATATCGTTGCAGTTGTGAATAAAGGTTATTGAAAAGATAACGGTCTGCCTGTTTGAGACACCCACACATGTTCTGAGCATTGAACACCCACTCAGTCACATGACCACCTGGCCACTCCCATCCATCTGGTCATTAGGCAGATCATATTAACGCTCTGCAGGATTTAAAATTATGGATTTAGTGGTCCCTGAGGTCCAAAAGGTCGGTGACCCCTGCGTGACTGGAGAAAAAAGTGAACTAGTTGCCTAAACTAAAAGTTTCCCACCAGTGAGTTACCTTCAAGAGCACCTGGATGTCCTCTGAGCTGCCTGGGGTTCGTTCCGTGTTTTGCTTCGAGGCCTTTTTGCCCTCCGTTGCAACGTGGTTTGCAACTTGCTCCTTATGGCTGGTGGGTGGGCAGAGTTTGGGTTTTGTGGAAATCTTCTGCCTCTCTTGTCCAAGTGGAGTCCTTGCGTTGCTCTGACTTCTAACGCTCTCGCTCGAAGAAAAGAGGCTCCCGGAAAATTTAGATATCGGTTCCTGGTAGGAAATATAGCAGCCACTTAACAGGTCAGCATCAAAAGGCACATGAATAAACTTGAGGAGAAGAAGATCAAAATAAAATTCAAAACGCCCTTGTTAGGCTAGAGCAGTGAGTTGAAAGTAACGGAATAAAATTGAATAGAAACAAGCTTCTTCCCTTTAAAATAAAAGAATGAGAATATCTTACTAGGTAATACCTGTGGGGGGAAATATGGAATATAATTGACTACTAACTGAATATGAACCAAAAGCATGATGTAGGTACAAAAAGGGCGGGGGGGGGGAAATGCAGTTTTGGGTTTCATCAATAGAAAAACAATCTTCAATCAGGGGAATAATTTTCCTTCAGTCAGTCCCCTCTCCCCCCTCCTGGCATTGGGTTTTTACAAAGCTTGCAGATAAATTTAAAGGAGTTGAGAGAAGGACAAGCGGGTGCTCGAAATCTAAATTCCAGGAAGGAAGATTAAAAGAGATGGCTGTCTACATTTAGCCTTGAGAAAAAGTGGCTGAATTGGGAGATGAGTTCTAATACCTCAAAGGATGCTCCATAGAAAAAGCTGAAGACCTGTTCCCAAGAAATGAATTTAAATCACAGGAAGCCTGATGGTATGTGCGAATGAACTGGGCAAAGAGGCGCTGCCAAGGGAATGGTCCAGTGGTGGGTTTCAAAAATTGTTCGAACCTACTTTGTGGGCGTGGCCTCCTTTGTGGGAGTGGCTTGCCNGATTACACTCATTTTGTCTTACTCTCTTATCATCCTTCTTATATTTCTTGTCTGGTTTCATATCCCTCTGCTTTTTTTTTCTGAAACTTGTCTATTCATTGGGCCTTTTTTATCTCTATGATTGTTTCTATTCTTTCTAAGATTTGAAACAAAAGGCCCGCTGTTGTGAATAATTAGCGCCAGAGCTTGCTAATTTGCAATTCTCATGCGTCTCCTTTCCTCAGTATAGATAGTTTCTAATCTCTTTTGAGTTCTAGCTTTCTTCCATATTTCTTGACATAGGCCAGACCTCTGAAACTGCAAGAGAAGAAGGAGTTAAACTGCTCAGTTAAACTGTTCCTTTATGCTTGATGGGTTTCATGCTTGACGGTTGACAGTTATTTGTCATATGTCACGTTTCGTTAATATATGGTCATTTCTAGTCCCGTCGGAGCTGTAAAATTTTCTGTGATTTCCTTGGTCGTCTTCAAATTATCTGTAATTTTTCTTCTTATCATCTTCCATTTGTTGACATTTTTTTATTAAGGGATCTTTCTTTGTCCCCTTTCTAGTTTGACATTGAGCATCTGCTGCATTCAGGGATTGTACTTCCATTTTATGGCTCAAGTTATTCATCTACTATCTATATTTGGCTGTCATGATAGCTGGTTTTGGCAGCCGCTTGGATCTAGTCTTTTTTCTGCTGCTGTTGTCTTTATCTCCTCCCAAAGTTTTGTAGATTCTCCTCTGCAGAGATTAACCGCACTAAATCGATCATTTATTTGTAGCTTGTTATCAAACTATACAATGTAGAATGACATCCTTTTGGAGGTGTTGCATATAACAGTGCATGTAATTTACTATAGAATTTTTAATAACTACCAATGTATATCATATAACAATAGAAATAGTTGAGGATGAACAATTTTATAAGATATGGGATTTGTTTTATCGATGGCTAGGGGAAAAAAATGTTTGGAAATGAAAAATGATATACTTATGCTTTAATTGAAGAAAGTAAATGATGATATAATGATGCTGTGAAATAATCTAACAATGACACAATGAAGAATTAATATAAGGTCTGGTGATATAACGTATAAGGCTAAGAACTTATTATAAAGATATTTCGCTGCTGATAAGCAATTCTAATGGGGGAACAAATGAAAACTGGTATATATAGGCAGCGATGTTTTGTTGAAAAATGAAGGAATAAGATTATTTCACAGCATCATTATATCATCATTTACTTTCTTCAATTAAAGCATAAGTATATCATTTTTCATTTCCAAATTTTTTTTTTCCCCTAGCCACCGATAAAACAAGTTACTGTTGTTCTAACGAAGGCTTCCCGAGAGCCTGAAACAAACTCCTTGTCCCGACAAAAAAAACCCCTTTTATTCTTTTCCTGTGAATTCTGCTGATTCACATCCG